ACCTTCTTGGCCAGCATGACATGGAACAGGGCAGCAAAGAGCTGGGCTGGACACGCACTTATCTTCCTCCAGAATCTCACCTGGACCAGGGCTTCAACCTCTGAGTAGATCCCAGTCACCCCAGCAAAAATAGCTCTATGGGACTGGGGACTAAGGTTAGCATCACAGCAGCACCTTCGGCCCTCCTACAGATGGTGGTGCAGGACCACGTACCACGCTGCTCCTGGCCAAGTGTCCAGGGCAGATCTTGGTAGGGATGCCTCCCTTACAGCATCAAGGCAAGTGGCACAGGATCGGGGGGCAGGGCACTGCCTGGACCCCCTGGGCTTGGCACTGAGAAGGGAAGTAGGGGGAGAGGACAAATAAAACCAGTCAACCACAAATAGCTGGACTGCTGAGGGCAGGATTTCTGGGCCACCAGCTCAGCCCTCCCCTTGCCTTGGCCCACAGGGCCCTGTCAAGCTCTGTTCCATGCTGCCTCCACGATCCTGCTCTGCCACATGGCTCCCCTCTGCCTCCTGTCTCCCCGGGTACCTCGTTTCCTCCTGCCACATGGTCTCTGCACATGCTGCTCCCTCTCCCTACCACAAACAATTGTGCTGATAATCACAGGAGCTAATACGTAGCATTTACTGTGTCACAGGTGCAGTGCCCAAAGCCTGTTAACTCTTTTAACCCTCACACCTTACAGGTGATCACAAGGACTGAATGCTGGTTGTCTACAGAACCCAAGCCCTGAAGAGGTGCAGTGACTGGTTGAGGGCTCCAACAGCATAAAGCGGCAAGGCAGATCCCAAAGGCTCGCCTTTGAGTACCCATGTCCACCTCAGATATTGCGGCTGGCTAAGCAATCACGACACCAGGTACTTCTAGGCTGCAACCCAAATCAGACTCTCCTGGTTTAGTGTCCTGAACACCTGCAGACCCCAAGCCCTCTGAGTGTGCCTCCCCGCAGGAAGAGTCCTGTGCAGGACTAGGGCAGGGAGGCAGGAGCAGGGCCTGAGGCTAAAGCAAATGGACTGGTCTGTGAGTAAGTGGCCCCCCATCATTCCCTCTTCCTGCCTGGCCGCTCCTCAAGGGTTTGGCTTTTCCTTTGCTGCTGAGCTAAAGCAAATGGACTGGTCTGTGAGTAAGTGGCCCCCCATCATTCCCTCTTCCTGCCTGGTCGCTCCTCAAGGGTTTGGCTTTTCCTTTGCTGCTGAGGGCAAATGCACTCTGGGATGACGCCAGGTGGGCCTGAGCCCCCAGCACGCCAGGCTGTGATGCAGAGAACTGGTCACCTCCTTTCCACCTCATCTCTCTGCATCTGCGGGCAAATGCACTCTGGGATGACGCCAGGTGGGCCTGAGCCCCCAGCACCCCAGGCTGTGATGCAGAGAACTGGTCACCTCCTCTCCACCTCATCTCTCTGCATCTTTGTGTCTCCCTCTGTCTTCCCTGCGTGATGACGTTTCCTTCCAGCAATTTGCTGGCAAGCTGGCAGGCCTCTTGCCTTCCTGCATGTCTATGCAGCCTTTCTCCCTACTTTCCCAGACTCCTCATTCCCCAGGAGGACAATGACCCAGGGAAGAGTCCTTTGCCCAGGATTCTACTGCAACTAGCTCATCCCGCTGCCTCCAGGCACAACCAGCAAGGACCACGTTGAGCCAGATGGTTGTCCATTCTCCTCCAGACCCCGGGGGAAGGAGGCTCCCTGATCTCCCTGGGCAACCCTGGATCCGTGACAGGAGGTTCTTTCACTTTCTCAGCTTGATCTCGGTGACGACACACCCCGCAGGGCAACGGCTGTGACTAATCCTGTGTTTTAGACCCTGCCTTGTGCCTGGCTGGTGCCTGTGAGGCAAAGCTGCCAGCAAGAAAGGCATCCTCAGAGGGTCCAGGGAGGTTCCAGCTGCGATGTTTTCCCAGGGTGACCAGGGAGGTGTCCGGGAAGAGGAGAGACAGGTATCTGGATGTTGGGCCCTTGAGGGGACACAGGACACAGCCCAGCCTACAGTGGCGCTGTGAGCTCAGTGCCCCCAAGAAAGGCTGGCCAGGCTCTCCACAGCCTCTAGCGCCTGCCCTGTCTGAGTGAGTCTCAGTGACGGCAGGATCTAGTGCAGCAGCCAGAAACCAGGCCACTGGAGAGGTGTTGGGCTGTCTGCTTACCAGGGCATTTCTAGGGTGTCCTCCTTTTAAAAGGTGTCAAAATTTAGTATCCTTTTTTTTTCCCACCTAATAATGTTTCCAATTTCCCATATGTCTAATACTGATTTGAAATGATTCATGGAAAAATACCTTTGCGACCCATTTATTTGTGCTACAGACGATGTAGTTTTTAAATAATTAGCTAAACACATGCACATGTGTACGTTACTATTCAAGCTCAGCCGTTACAACCACATACAGACAAGCAACGCAGGTCACAAAGAAACCCTGATACTGTGTGTTAGAGTGTCAGGGGCTGAGAATCCTCCCAGGAGGACAGCCAGAGATTACTACAAAGATGTCCAAGGGGGCCTGGGGAAAGTGTCAGCAGAGGAACACCTGCCGCCAGCCTGCCCGCCCCATCGCCAGCACCCACGTCACAGTAGGGCCGAGCAGCCAGCCCAGGGCAGCCGGCCCAAAAAAGGCTTCTTGTACTCTCCTCCCTGTCATCCTTGCTTGGGTGACCAGGTCTGGGCCTAGCACCCTTGAGGACCTTTCCAAACAGCAAGCAAGCCTCCTCCTCTGCCTCCTCCCCAGATGTTGTCTTTGCCATTTCTCCTTCCCAGCTGATTCCTGCAACCACAGCACTTTCTCCAGAAACAGCTGGGGCCCAGGGCCTGTGCCACACCGAGTGCTTCTCTCAGGATGCCCAGGGCTCCACTTGCTGCCTCCTTGCTCTGGGTCAGGCCCAGCGTGGCCCTCCTCGGCCTTGCATTCCCCCTCATCCCCCAGAGAAATAAAGTAACCATGACGGAATAACGATACTGGTAAGAATGACAGCACTGGGGGCATTTACTGGAATCGACTGTGGGGTGCGCTGGACTGCTGTTGCTTCACGTGTGTTTTCATGACAGACAGCATGGGGTAGTGGGCACAAGGAGCACAGCCTGTGAGTCTCTCTGTGCCTCCACTCACTCATCTGTAAAGTGGGTCTATGAAGAGCACCGCTTTCCTGGTAGTGTGGGAATTAAACGAGCACACACATGTAACATGCCCAGCACAGTGCCTAGCACACAGTAACTGCTCTGCAAATGTGGACTAGCATTGCGTGCTCCTTACAACTGCTTCATCACCACCCCGATGTTTGTAGCTGAGGAAACAAGGCTCAGGGAGGCCTGGAATCTTGCACAAAGGCCTCAAGGTTCATGATTGCCAGAGCTGTTATTTGTGCCCAGGCTGTCTGACTCCAGGGCCACCACATTCCCAGCTTCCAGTGTTTGCTACTGTCCACAGGATTGCCAATGTTTTCCCAATGGCTGTTTTCACTGAACTGCGGTGCAGGAATCTACCTTAGTGCTCTTGTTTTTTGTGACCATGGGGGCCCTGGAGAAGCGGGCCTGGCTGTGGAGTTGGCTGTAGACCACAGAGCTGATGAGACCCAATGCCACCCAAAGACAATGGGCTGCCGGGGCTGGGGGGACTAGGAAGCCTCCAGCACTTCACATGAGGTCTCAGATCATCTTCTTCCGGATGGGGTACAGGGCCCTTTGGGCTCTCTCCCTCTCCTGGGCCCTGCAGTGTGGTGAAATTATGCAGATGGGGCTTCTTAGACTAAGTTTGACTTTTTCCCACTCCCTGGACCCTCAAGTGCACAACTCTTGAGCCCACAGACAGACCCTGCCTTGAGTGGCCATGTGGTGGCCTCCAGGCGAGGTTTATGCCAGCACATATGGTGTTTGGGGCAAATTATAGAAATGCATAACCTTTAGCCAGAAAATTTTTAAGAGGCAGTCCTCTGAGTAAATGAATTAGAAAAGGCATCCTGTCCTCAGGCTGACATGGCCCCATGTGTGTCCCCTACTCATGCCCTTCATTGGGTCTCCTTGGGCAGTACACAACTTGCATGACTGTTCTTGGCAGCCTGCCCCCATTGAGAAAGGGCTGGGACCGTGTAGAGAGAACACGAGACTGGCGAGACTGGGAGCCAGCAGGTTTGCGTCCTGGGGCTTTTTAACCACTAACCTGCTGGAGACCAAGAAGTGCCAGGACCATGACGTTCTTGTCTGTAAGATGAGAGGATGGGGCAAAACCTGCCCGAGATCCCTGACAGCAATGTGACAACAGTGAGATCATCAAAAGTGACAACAGCTACCACTGACAGAGGCCCAGTGACCACCCAGTCACCATCCTGCTTTTCCTCTGAGCACTCAATTCTTACTACCACCTCTCCAGGTAGCGGCAAATATCTCATTTTATAAAGAGGCCACTGGATTTTGGAGAGCACAGAAAGAAGTGCCAGGACCATGACGTTCTTGTCTGTAAGATGAGAGGATGGGGCAAAACCTGCCCAAGATCCCTGACAGCAATGTGACAACAGTGAGATCATCAAAAGTGACAACAGCTACCACTGACAGAGGCCCAGTGACCACCCAGTCACCACCCTGACTGCTTTTTCTCTGAGCACTCAATTCTTACTACCACCTCTCCAGGTAGCGGCAAATATCTCATTTTATAAAGAGGCCACTGGATTTTGGAGAGCACAGCTAGAAGTGCTAGAGCTGGCAAACCCAACACGGAGGCTAAGCCCACCCTCAGAGCCTCAGTGTCCCCCTGCTGCACTGCCCCCCTGCCACCGGCCAGGCCCTCATCTGTCTGAATGCCCGGGCACCTCCTCACAGGCACGTAGGCTACCCTCAGAGCCTCAGTGTCCCCCTGCTGCACTGCCCCCCTGCCACCGGCCAGGCCCTCATCCGTCTGAATGCCCGGGCACCTCCTCACAGGCACGTAGGCTGGCTGCAGGGCTCTTGTCTCATCTTGTCGGTCAGTCAGTCCATCAACACACACTGGGTGCTCAGCCCAAGGAAGATCCCTACCGTTCATTGTTCAGGGTCATCCTTGGGGGGTCCAGGTTGGGGTTTTCCATGGACTCCATCTGTGGACACCGCAGGAAGTAGTAGAGTGTGTGGAGGGCATCGGGGGACCAGGTAATGGGCTGCGGCGGCTGGCGGGGCTGGCGGGCGGGGCTGGTGCCTGGACACAGGAGGTGGCGCCCCTGCATGTGGTGCATGGCGCGGGAGACCAGGTCACCTGGCGGGGGTGAGAGGGAGAGAATGAAAGAAGACAAAGTCTGAGTGCACAGCCACGTTCTTCCGAGGATGCCTCCTTCGTGCATAATTACTGTTTACTAAACTGTCACCTAGACACACAATAGCAATTTGGTTTCCCTTTCATTCCCAGCCTTGCGTTAATAGCTAAATTACACACTGGGCAGGGCCGGTCTCCTCCAGAACTTATGCTAATGTGGTTTCTTTTTCGACATCCCCACTCTCTCTGCCACCCTGTGGGCCTTTCCCCAGATCTCTAACCAAGGGCATCTCTCTGGGTCTCTTCCCCCAGCCCCTCCCAGCCAGTGCCAAGCTGTGTGGTGACTCTCCACTGTGCTGTCTTGTGCAGAGCCCCAGGTGGTTCAGCAGAGAAGGTCCCTCCATCTCCATCACCTCGATGACAACTACCACCACCACCCGCTGAATGCTTGCTAGGTGCCAGGTACACAATTCCCTAGAAGTATGATTTAATTTGATTCTTCCAATGCTAGAGGGTCAAGTATTACCCTCATTTTATGGATGAAGAAACTGAGGCTTATCTGATAAAAAGACATTTCCTGACCCCATGCATTCTCCTGGTCACAGGGGTGCCGCAGTGCACACAGGCTGAGTTAACTAGCCATGGTCATGTGGCAAGCAAACGGTAGAGTCAAGATTTGAATCCAGCCTTGTTTGACTACAAAGTCATGAACCTCAGGGTGACCTGGGCTGTGGCCTGCCCTATTGGAGTCTGTGGGGTCCTCAGGTCCCCATATCCTGTGTTGTGTTTCTGCCCAAGTCAAGTCTCTTCAATATCCCACCGGCCCCGGACAGGAAACATCCCATTATTGTGTGAGGACACAATGCTGAGAAAGGATGGGCTGAAATAGCACCAGGCACCTGCAGGCACCTCCGCTCTAGGAAGAGTGGCGCCTCCGCATTCTCCATGGGCCTGAGAACTTAGGGGGCCTCCCCTGCATGCTGCACCCCACCCGTGGTGGTTCCCTACAGATAGTCCCTTCCATGGAAAACTTCTGGACATGGCTAACCCTAAGGTGGGAGAAATGAGCAGGTTTTAATTAGACCAGTGAAGAAATGAAATGTATGGCAGAACCAATTCATTCATTTATTCAATTAACCTTCATTATGCAACTTCTGGGCATCTGGTCCTCTGTTCCTCAGTGTCCCTGGAGTCTGCACACTAGGCCCCAGCAAACATTTGGAGGAGGAATGAAGGAACAGCCTTGCCTATTCATTTCATTTTTAAGTATGACTTCTGGTAAGGCTTGACTGGAGCCCATTAGCTTCCAAATTCTCCCATGACAACCACAGCGACAGTGTTTGTCTTCCAAGCAGAGACAACTGACACCCCTGGAATTGGAGATCTCCACTGGGAAAGAGTCTTCCTTGCCCCCTCAACCCTCTATCCCCAGCCCCAGCCTCACTCCTCCTTGCATCTGTGCTCAGCTACCTGGTGCTCCTGGCAAACCCTGGGGTCCAGAGGGCTCCCATCGCTAGACTCTGATTTCCTTGGTCTGGAGCAGGCCCCAGGCATCTGTAGTCTGTAAAAGTTCCCTCGGTGATACTAATGTCCAGTCAGGTTTGAACATCACCAGGTAAACTGGTAAGAGTGTAGATCCTAGAGTCAGGCACGCCTGGCTTCAAATCAAGACTCTGCTACTTCCAACTTCTGTACCCTTAAGTAATTGTTAGAGCCTCAGTTTTCTCATCTGTAAAATGGAAACAATAGTACCTATCCTGCCAATTTTGAGGACTCAAAGAAATAATCAATGTACAGCACTTAACATCATGCTTGGTACAGATAAGTACATGGTAAGGTTGACTGTAACACTATTATTATTACTGTCCTCGAATTATTATCTCTCTATCCTACAGGCTGCCTCCTGTGGAACTGTTCCTTCTGTGACCACTGTCTGCAGTCAAACACTGCCCCACATTTTCCAGGACAGGAGGAGTCTGAGCTCTGAAATGCTGGATCCCAGCCCTGCCCTTGGGCTCCTGGGTGGTAGAAACTGGCATCACAACCACCAGGCCAGCAGCCAGTTGCACACCTAAGTCGCTGCAATGAGATGAAACCTGGCTCCCATGTCCCCAGGTATAAATGTCATAACTTTTGGCAGGACCATAGGACCACAAGGAGGAGAAAGCAAAGAGTCTGCGATAGCATCAAAGAGAAATCTTGTTGAAATATATTTCAAAGGTTTGACAAGGTACAAGTCATTATCATTAATTATTTTTATTGTTGTTTTATTGTTATTGATGGAGAACCCTTTGGCAGCAATTTCCAACCAGAATGCCGGCAAGAGAATCAAGAAAAAAATGGAAGCTCCTCTTAAGAGCTTCCTAAAAGGGATACCAGAAACAGGGAGAGATCCCTGGAAGTTCAGGAAAAGCACCAAGGCAGCTGGAGATGGAGGTCCCTGGCTTCTTTGATCGAAGCCCCACTGTGGTCAGTTTCTCTCAAAGACCAAAAGACAGTTTGCCTGTGGACAACACTGAGCAGATGTCTAAAAGTTTACACGACTCTGCAACCCATTTAGCACCAAAGAAAGCGGCTTGCTTTGTAAATTCTCGTAAGGTGATTTTTCCTCCCTGATACTTTATGTTTCCTAGGCCTCATTACAGACATGACAAGACAGACAAAATCTCTTTTAATCTTTAGAGTCACCCTGTAAGGGAGGTATTTTCATTTAATAGACGAGAAAAGAAGCTTGCAGAAGTTAAATGATCCATCCCAGTTGCACAACTAGTAAGTGAACCAGCCAGGACTTGACCTGGGGTCCCCATTTCCCACATGCGTGCTCCTGACCATCAGGCCATTGCTCCTGAGAGTGTGGTCTGTGAGCGGGGATAGGTCCATAAATTGTTCACAAGTTAATTTCAGAAACTGAGAGTGAATTTTATAAAACTTCCATAGGAATTTGATAGAGTAGCTTTATGTCTATCTCATCTAACAATAATTTTAAAAACTGGGCTTGCATTTTACATGTCTTATTTCATTTTTCCAGACATTCATTTTTATTGTATTTTACAAAAGTTTCAGTCTGCTACTGAGTGGGAGGAATAAAATCCCTGGCCCTTGACCATGGCTAGTTTGAGAATCCGTAGTCCAGGCTGGGCTCTTGGGTTAGCACAGGTGGGTCCTCAGAGCAACTTCCTTGTACAGGAGAGTCAGTTGATCCTAAGCTCAATGAAACTTTAGTCTGAAGTCCAGAAACACCCACCAGGCATGGAAAAACAAGCCCTTCCTCCTTGTTAACCATGGAAGACTGGATCAGAGGTGCCACGGGTTTCACTCTGGTCTTTGCAACCCTCATTATGAGCCATCAAATAAAACTAGTAGGTGGGAGTCTGGGATTTAGCACTGTCTTCAAAATAAGGCCCATAACATCTGGCTGCCTTTTTAAAAAAAGTGTTTTGCTTTATTTATTTCTTGTTCCCTCCCTTTAAAGTTTCATGGGTACAGAGGGATGGAGCAAAACCCAAGTGCCCACGCTCCTTGTGCAGTTGGAGCCAATACAAGAATGAAACTTCTTAAGCTAGCCAGCAGGCTGGTCTCACGAGGTGCAGGGAGTTAGCACGTGTAAAACCCGGGTGTCATGGGAGGCCGAAGGAGCTCAGTGCCAAGTATCACTAGCCTCATTACGTTCTTTAGTCTCGAAGAGGAACACTACAATCTCTGCCTCCACCTGTCTCCTCCCTCCTCCACAGCGAAAAACCTGGTTTCGGAGGGAGGGACAGGGGCAACCTGGAGTGAGACACAGCCCATTCTGACATCTGTGAAAAGGTGCTATGGGGGTGCTTCTCCCCTTTGCCCCAAGGAGTGGCTGGGCCAGGACTTGTCCAATGCTAGGAGAGTTTTAGGAGACAAACACTGGGTGGGACAGACTTCATGCCTTCTATCACACGCACACACGCATGCACATACACGCACACACACACACATGCATGCACACACTGAGCATCAGATACTGTTCTAAGCACTGGGGATACAGTGGTGGACAAAACAGATAAAAGGCCTCCACTCTAGTGGAGCTGGCAATCTGGTCACAGGAGAGAGATGATAAACTATCCACAAGTAAATATATAATAAACGTCAAGTGGTGATCAATGCTTTGAATAAAACCAAAGCTGTAAGAGGGGAGACAGAGGAATGAGGGTGCGGTGCTCACTTACACAGGGTGCTCAGGGAAGGCCTTTTGCATAAGGTGCCATGTGGGCAGAGGCCTCAAGAGTGAAGGACGGACATATTTGGGCATCTGGGGAAATGTCACAGGCAGAGGGAACAGCAAGCACAAAGGCCCTGGAGTGGGAGGGCATCTGGTGGGAGGGTGCCAGCCAGGAGGCCAGGGCAGCTGCAGCGCAGTCGGCAGGAAGGGTGGTAGGTGAGGGGGTCAGACCCAGTCAGATCCTGGGCTATGGCGAGGATTTTGGATTATACTGATTAGCTGGGAAGCCATGGCGAGGGGTCGAGTGGAGGGGACAGATATTGAGCAGCTGAGTGACATAATCCATTGTGAGTTTTCAGTGGTCCAGACATGGGCTGGGTTGGTAGCAGTGGAGGTGGTGAAGGGGGCACACCAAAACTCAGGACAGTTTTAAAAGGTAAAAGCAACAGGAAGTGGTCCCTGGGCTGAATGGTAAGGACAGAATGTGTCAAGCCTTTCCCTTGAGGGAAGTTTCTGGATGTTCTGTGTGCCTGGTTTGGATGGTAATGGGCACGGAGGCCACCCAGACAAAGGCAGAGGAACAGACCCCGATCTTGCCCTCAGCTGCCCTGAGATACTGTGGGGGTGCTGCTCCTAGCACTAAGCATTTGACATCGTGGCCCCTGAAGCCAGGCACATCAGGAATCAGGCCCGTGCTCAGATCCCTATGGCTGCACGATTTGGGGAAATCACTTTTCTTCTCTAAGCCACTGTTACCTCATCAGGGAACTGTTCTGAGAGCAAAGCTGTTCTGAGGAGACAGAGTAAATAAGGTGCTTCGCATGGTGCCTTGCACACAGTAAGTGCTCACTTAATGTTCAAATGCAAAATAAAACTAAGGGTTCAGGGCTGTTTTTACTACGTTCAGGGTAGGAGAGTTCACCAAAACACTGACAAGGCCCGTGCCTGGCCCCAAGACAGCCCACTCTCCAGGAAACATTTGTCAGGGGCAGAGATCAAGCCACACACCAGAGCCCACTTTCTGCAGGGTCCCTCCAGGGGCAGGAGACCCAGGCGGCAACGTGCCGGCCCTGACAGCTGTGATGCCGCCAGTAGACAGTGGAAGTCCCGCTTTCTTTCCCAGTGCTATTATGCATCTGCTCTGTGACCCTGAACTGGGCACCTTCATTTCCTGTCCTGGGAATGGGGTAGGAGAATGGAGGCAGGGAGCTGCACCCTAAAGAAACAGAAAGGTTTGTCACTCACTGTTCAGAGGCCAGAAAACTCAAAGGGGTCACAAACGGAGAAGGCTGGAGCAGAGTGAAACTCTGTTTCTTTCTATGCTGTGTGCTATGACCCTAGGTATGTGTCATTGCCTTCCTCTGGGTGGTCTCAACAGAGTGAAGGGGAATTAAGGAAGCAGAGTATGGGGCTGATTTATCAAATAATTGGGGTAATGAGAGGGAGTGCTCAGGAGCAGTTGTCAGATGGTGAGGACCTACATCAAGGTGGTTTCCAACTGTGTTCCACAGAGCCCGGAGGTCCTGGGGGATGTCCCAGGGCCACTGCCGGGGTGGGGGCAAGGTGTCCTCCGACCATGCCCTCCTTCAGCCAGAATAGCTCTGCTGTTCCCTTCCAGCACTCCAGGGGGGCTTTCTTTCAAGAAAGTATCATTTGTAAATTCAGATGGACCAAGCAGGTAAAATAAACAAAACAGGCCAGCTACAGACAACCAGGTCTGTGGTGGAGTGGGAATACCTGCCACCCACTTAACCCAGCTCCCACTGATCGCTGCCGTGCAGGAACCGAGTGCAGTGTCGCTAGAGGATCTGATTTTTTAAGAGAAACCACATACTAACGTGTATGTGGATTTAAGTCCACATGCTGATCAAATCAAACATGTCTGTGGGCCACCTGTTTGCAACCTCTGGCCTAGAAGGATCTAGCCCTCAGGGAAGGCAGGCAGCGTGGAGCAGGGGAGGCTGGGTCCCAGAAGGCGAGCTCTCCCTGCTTCCTCCCTCAGAGCCTCGCTCGACCGTCCAGCTGGACGTGGGTGCCACACTTACTCAGCTCCGAGATGCTGCCCACGCAGGTGGCCAGGAGGGACTGCTCCAGGGTCCGGAGCTCCAGCTGAGCGTAGGCATCGGCTCGCTCGTCATGGCCCAGGGACCCGCCGTTGTAGGGACTGAAGTACGCGGGGAGGGAGAGGACACCTATGGGAAACAAGGCAGACAGGTCACACTCGGGAAGGAGAGAAGGCTCCGCAGGCCACATCCCACAGCAGGTAGGGCTCGGCCCTGCTCACCTCCTCCAGGTGGAGCAGGGATCGGCAGGCAAATCTCTCTGAGCCTCGAGGACATGGGAATTTTTACCATGGATGTAGCTGTGGTTTTAAGCAACTGGGACCATCGTTTCTTGGAGTTGCCCATGGACTTGACCTACTTAGGCTCACCTCGAGGACATGGGAATTTTTACCATGGATGTAGCTGTGGTTTTAAGCAACTGGGACCATCCTTTCTTGGAGTTGCCCATGGACTTGACCTACTTAGGCTCATGGGCCATACAAGAAGTTGTTCATTCATTCACTCACTGAATATTGACAGAGTGATGCAGCTCTGTTTCCATGGCGATGACTAAACCAGATGTAGATGCCCACCCTTATCACCCAAAGGGAACTGTCATCTCCTGGGTCCTCTCACTTCCCCATGCTGCCCCCTTTCTCATCAAGCCAAGAAAGAAGCTGGGAGCGACCAACGGAAAGGGAGTGCCTTCTCCACTCCAGGAAGGGGACGTGTCCCAGCCACTGGCCAAGTCCAATTAGTGTTTTTCATTAGCACTTCAACAGCAGCAGAGCAGAGCTGTCAGAATCAATCCCAGAGGGTAACAGCCTGTAAATTTCTCCAACTCACTGTGTGGCTTCTTAGAAAGCACCAGAAAAGCAAAATCAAGCTGGTTTAAAATTACATGTTGGTTCTTAAGAGCATGTGGCCACAGAAATTCTAGTCGCAGTCATCAGAACAGGGATTTCTAACTTTTGGTAACTGCTGTTTGATTGATGTTTCCTTCTCCAACAGCCCCCCACCCCCAAACTTTGGGGGGAAAATGTACAGGAATTTAATCACTCACTTTTGGGAAAAATCTCTTAAAATTCCCTGAGATAACTGGAGAGCCCTTGGGATGCAGCCAAGCCTGGGTTAGAGTTCTCTATCCCAAACACGTGGGAGGTGACAAGGACAACAGTGGCAATAGGTGGTGTGGCCCTGCGGTTACGACAGGGCCTTGGAGCAGATTGCTGGGGCTCCTAATTCTGGCTCTGTCACTCAACCAGCACTGTTTTCTTGGTCGGGTCACTCAGCCTCTCTGTGCATCCGTTCATCCTGTGTTAACTAGAGATGACGAAAGTCCCCAGCTCAGAGGACTGAGTTAGTAGGTGTCACTATTTGGACCAGTGCATGGCTCAGAGTAAGTGCTCTATCGAGTGCTGTTGCTACTATTTTTGCTTTGTGCTGGGAATACAGGCTTTATTTACATGATCTCATTTGTTCTTTCAGCAACCCTATGAGATGGGCACTGCTGGCTCCCTTTTAGATGTTGGGGGACGGACATTCAGAGAGTCTGAATAACCTGCTCAGGTAGAGTTAGGATTCAACTCCGGGTCCGACTGGCTCTAGGATGTGTATGTACACCTAACCCTCTGTGAGCTCAGAGTCCAGTGAACACACCACCAAGGATCTCCCATGGCTGTCCCTATTCGGTGGTTTGTGCATGTGACCAAATGGCTACACCATTGCCCATTTCCCCTGTGGATACCCCAGTGCTGAGACTTGTGCATTTCTCTTTCTTGGGGCAAAGATGCATGGCACTCTTCCTCCAGCCCAGGTCCTGGCAATGTTCCTCTTTGACCATTCTGTAGGTTCAGCTGATGGTCAGTCCTGCCCTTCTAGCCTGCCCTGACCCTGACCCAGGCCCCTCTACCCTCCTCCGTGCTGGTGTGGCCAAGACCTGCCCCTCTGAATCTCCCTTCCTCCCTCCTGGATGGCAGCGACCCCTCCCATCACATCAGCATCTTGTAAAACAAAGCACTTGCTCAAAGCTTTGTTTCTGCAGGAGGGGGAGGAAGAGGATGTGATGGGGCTTTCCTCTCCCCCAGCCCCTGACCAGGGCCCTCTTCCCTAAAGCAGAAACTCTGTGACAGCTGAGTAACCGAACACATTAGGGAAGAGCTGGCTCTAAGCACTAAACCTAGTAAAACAGAAGAGAAAACCACTCCAACTATAAGCTAAAACCCACAGACAGCCCAGACAGCCAGGAGAGTCCTAGGGTAGGCCTGGCTCCTCCTCTTTCCTCCATTATTCTCCATCGACAGAAACAACACCAGGGACATGTGGATCAAATTTACAGTGCTTAGGGCAAGGGAATAGGAAATTCAGCTGATTTGTTAAAGGATTCCCAGAGAGAAATCTTATGTCTATGGATCTAGTAACAGGAGCAGGCAGCTCCATTAATAATAGTTCCCATTCTCCTGGTCATCACCCACCCAAAGGGGCTTTCACTTAATACTGTGGCAAAAGTCATTATGAACCTATTATTAATAATAGTAATTGATAGCATCACAGCTTTTGCATGGCACCTTTTGCTTTTAAAAGGCTTTTTACATCGAGTAACTTATTCTTCCAGCAAGTGAGGTAGGGCAGTCAAGATCAATAAAGCCACAGCTGACTTTTAATGAGGGCTACCTATGTGCCAGGCACTGTGATAACAACTTACAGGCATTATCCAATCACTGAATCCCCCAGTGTTTCATGAGGGTCTATTCTCACCCATTTCCCAGCTGAGAAAACTGAGGCCAGAAAAGTTAAATGACTTGTCCAAGGTTACCAAAGGTCAGAAACTGAACAGGAGTGTGTGGGGGTGAGAGGGGGGCATGGCTAGAATTTCACCCTCTTGATTCTCAAGCTGCTGAAAAGAAATGATGTTCTAACTTTGGCTACCTTGACCTTTTGTGAGTTAATAGCACGTAGGATATTTGAGAGAAAAGTCTGTTTGGGCCTGAGGTTTGATAGGAGGAAATTCAAAAAAAGATCCAGAAATAGAACTTTCTCTTTCGTGGGTCTCCAGGCACCTCCTGCAGGGGATCCCTGGAGGCCTTCCATAAAACTCCCTAGGTGGAAGGCTGTCTCTCTCATCCCCCCTGATACGCAGTTCCACAGCTTGTCTTCCAAATCTGCCCCTTCAGAAAGCCTTCCTCATGGCAGTTCTAAATCCTCTCCCACAAAAGCCCATTCCTCAGTAGTTCTCACTGGAGAGGGAAAAATATTTTCTTTAAATTTTCTTAACATGTCAACGTCTTCTTTTCGCACGCAAATTCCCAGCTTTATGATATGGGCCCATGACAAAGTCATTCTGGAAAAAAGAATTTCCAAAAAAACAACAAAAAAGAAAGGGCAACTTTTTTTTTTAATCCATTTAGTAAAATCCTTAGGAAAAATTGTTTATTTCAGTCATAATGGAAAAGCAACTGTTCCGGAATGTTTCCTTTTATTCTTTTACTAGTTAATAAGGACACCCCAAATCACCCCCTGTCGAACTCTGTAAAAGTGACGAGGAAGCCCACACGCATGACTCAGATCATCACCGTGAGAAATGAGCACGAAGGAGTATCCTTGCCTCCCTCTTCTATAAAATCAGCATTTCTGTTGAAACATTGTTCCACTCGAATGTGCTTTTTTTGACTCTGCGCGGAGCCTCTCCATTTCTCAATCTATACGCACAACCATAATCTTCCATCACTCAGTTCTTATCATTCTGGTTGCCCAACCCTTGAATCTCGGAACTCATTATCTCGTTCCCCAAAGCTGCCACCGCCTCCTCCTCCTCCATGGTCCCCTCTGAGAACAGCACCATGTCCACCCAGTTGCCCAAGGACAGACCTATGAGTAATCCTTATCAACTCCCTCTCCCCCCCCCACCTCCCATCAGCCACCAAGCCCTGCTGCTTCTACCACCTTAATATCTCAAAAATCCATCATTGCCACGACCCTGGTTCAGGCCACCATCTTCCCTCCCTAGATTCTGCAGCAGCGTCCTCAGGGGTCTCCTGTCTCTGGTCTCACCCCATCCCCACCCCCCGACTCCGGTCATGTTGCTTTAGCTTCGTGCTCTTCAGTGACTCCCTATCGTCCTCATGAAAAAGTGCAAACATCTTTGTACAAGTAAGAATAGATAATTCTCTTCTTTCCCTATCTGAAATTTACAGATGAAAATAATTCTGCCAGCAAACAGAAAATTCCCAGCACCCTCGCGGGATATCAGCAGAGCTATGAAGTCCATGTACACCTGATCCTTGTTTCTGGAAGTTGTTTTCCAAGTGTTGGTCACTAGACTCTACTCTAGTGCCGGGGGTTAGGGGGTGAGGAGCAACCCATTTCTTTCCTAAGTGATTCTCCACCAGTGCCCAGAGAGGGTGCGATTGAGTTGGATGGGAAACCAAGACTCAGGAAACTGGGAAGCCCACCTTCTCGCTGGTGGTTGCCAAACAGAAATTCGAGTGGGGTTTCAGCTTGCAGAGGTGCCCTCTCCTCCAGGCAAGCATGCAGCCAGCAGAAGCAGATGGACTGCACACTGGGTTGATAGACCAGACTTTCAGTGCCAAGGTGTTTTAGAAGCAGGGCTCAGCACAAACACCACATCAGTGTGGACTGCACTCGATCCTCTGTAAAACATGGGGTCGATTCAGCGGCTCCCCAAATCCTCTCCAGCACTGGGATTCTAGACTCTGACTAACCCCTGTGTGTTCTCCAGCACTAAAGTGTGCCCCTGAAAACCTTTTTTTCTTTTTATTCCATTTAACTTCTGAATTGTCAACAGTAGGAACATGTAGACCCCGTGATTACTATTTCCTATAGTTTAATTTCTTCCATAGCTATAACAACACCCCCCCACAACACACACTCAAACAAACGCAATTTTAAATGTAAAGAAGATGTTCTTTCTGTGTAAAACTGGATAGGTTTACAGTTTAGCTTTTCTGACCCCTCATCAAAAAGCCATCAGGACTGTAACATAACTGTCCTCCAAACTCAACAACCTGTTACTGGTGCTCTCCCCAGACTTGTAAACATTCTTTCTGGGGCAAATGACTCCAGTGGCCCGGACACCTGTGCAAACCTGTGTGCCTATCCCCCTTTCCCGCCCCTGTCCCCCATGTCCCCCA